GTAGTATGGACATATTGCGTGTACTCCAAATTCTGTTCTTCTTAATCGGCCCTTCCTTACTACACTGGTAGGCATGTATGTTGCCAGATTTAATATGCCACAGCATTATAACTTGGTCTGTCTGACGTGCTAAAAAACAAACATTAGTCTGTTTATGTATTACTCTTACATTCCCTCAATGATTATAAATCAACATGTTTTATGCACTCAGGCCTCGATTCTATTATAACACAAAGCATATCTACACAATTTAAATTGCAATTTCCCAGAGATGTCAAAGAGAAACAACTTATTCAATTACCAGAGTTAAATGCATCTCTTGTAATCGTATCCTGCTATCATGGTGATAGCATCACAATGTGGTTCACTACTACAAATACAAAGCTGGAAATTTAGAACATGTTCAAGATTGGGGCATCTCTCAGACTAGGCTATTTTTCACCACAAAGTTCCTTCCGTAGTTGTGTCTGCTTTGTGACAATTGACCAAAAGCAACGACTGCCTCTCTTCTTTGTTTTCATAATGATTGATATAACTGCTGCCTTGATTTCCAGTACTGGATCAAGACGTGCCAAAAATACCGATAGGTTTCATTATGCTGAAGTTAGTAAATTAAATATCTTGTATCTGGTTTATATTTGTATTGTATCCATTCCTCTAAGTTCAGCAACCCTTTCCAAGATTTGTTATCTGTTTAAACAGTGAGATTGCCATCTATACATATAGTTACAGTCCAAAAGAGTTGTGTACTGATGTTGCATTTGTAAGAGCACAGTTAAAGTTAAGATTATGGTTTAGTACTGGGGTATCATTTTTTATTTGGGGGATCAGGTTTGAGAGATTATAGTTTGTCAGTTTAAGAACAAAGTGGATTTAGGTTAATGATATCCCTGCCTTTAAGGTGCCATAGACTGTAATTCCCATGATTCTTATCCAGACAAAGCAGTATGGATGCTTGGCTGTATAAACAGCAAATCCATTCAACCTGGTAACATCTGTATTTAATGGAGCACTCCACACACCATAATCACTACAGTGTGCTGTAGTGGTTATAGCGCCAGGAGTGCCCTGACACCCATCCAATGTCAGTAGTCAAACTCCCTGCCTCTGTGACAGCCATTAGAACGTCTCTACCTTTTTCTGGTTCAAAGGGAAACTATAGTGCTAGTAAAACACCTACATATTTCATAATATTTTTTCTGCACAATACATGCTATGTTTATTCTACTCATGGCTGCTTTACAATATGTGATGTCTTTTTACATAAAAGCAGGGTTCACCAATCTTGCACTTTCTTTCCTGCAATGCTTATAGGATTGGCTAAATAAAATAATAATCACATTTTTGCGTGGACACGATAGTTGAAAGAGCCGGTCTTTGACTGTACTGAATGAAAAGTGACATGTTACTGTATCAACGAACAGCAGCGGGGAATAAATGCATATCTCAAATATAAACAGGCATTATCAGATACATTAGATTATGGAATAAGATTAAGTACATAACAAATAATGCTTAGAAATTCTTGGAATGGGGGTGTCATTGTTTGCTCTGCATTAAAAATATTGACATCCCTTTCAAAAGCAAAAATATTCATTCTAACACCTTGGAATGTGGAGCTGAATGAAAGAATGTCTCGCTGACAACGTTACTGGTCACAGACGGTAAAAACCTCTTTAAAGCCGGCTCCTGCTTTCTTTATTCGCCATGCCATAATGTGCTGTTGAAAGATCCTTCTTTGGATGATTTGATGGTTGTACTCAAATTGATTATTTGCCCCATCATCTCGCTCATGAGTGATATATGTGAACGGTTTCTGTTATTGGACTGAAGTTTTACGCATGTAGAATTTTCCTACTATTTCCTACATTCTTTTATAAGAAAGCGTGAAGACTGTATAAGGGGCTCATTTAATCTTCTCCCCAGATGTGAGAAATTCCAGTTTCTTGTATATGAATATTCCACTAGATTATAATGTATACAGCATTACGTGAAACTTGGACATGGTGTTATTTAGCATATCAAAGTCTCATTGACCTTGTGGTTTGATCACTAAACAAAACATGTTAGGAAAAAATAAAGCCATTAACATTTGAAATGGTTCGGTCAATGCATCTTAGCTCTTGGTTTAGTGAATAAAATGCATAACAATGCAGGTAGATGTTGAATTCATTAACCTCTTCACGACCAAGCACTTTTTTTCTTTGATATTTATTGGAAACAGGACATGCATAGCTAGCACAAAAACATATAATAACACAGCAGTTTTGTGTACCGATTGGTTTCCAGAAAAACCTAAACATTAAAATGATGTAAAATTACACAATTTTTACTTTTCATTTTCCTATGCTTTAGACAGTATACAATGGACTTTATTTTGCAATATTTCACACAGTGTCTGAAATTCTAGTATAGAACCAAAAATACTATACTCTAGGTGTGACAATATTAGATAAAAATGGTAAAATATCCTGCTTATAAGTATTTGTAGGGATCCTGAAGGCATTATTAATGGTACAGTTTACTGAAATTGGCAACAGAATGTAAAGAGAATGTATACTCTTAAACATAATGCTCACATACAGTAAATGGTGAAATCACATATTTCTAAATAAAGGTATTTAAAAAGTGATATTGTAATCTTCATCACTTTCTGGAATGCTGAGTAACATGGTATAGTCCATTCACTCTTTCCAATCCCTGACTGTAGGAAGAGTATCGTCCTTTAAAGCTTACACTAAAGAACCAAGAATACTGAAGCTCTGCATTTTTTCCCCAACACTGAGGGTGCCTGAGAAATCCAAATAGGTAGGGTAACACTATAGAATTACGAACACCTGTTTGTACATCTAATGCTCGTGTTCCTTTGAGTAAACATGGGCTTATTCAATAAGCTGAAATTTATGGACATGACATGGGAATTGCAGTTGGAAAAATAGCTTTAGAATTTTCCCACTTAAAGGGATTCTCCAGTGCCAGAAAAACAAACCCGTTTTCCTGGCACTGCAGGATCCTGCAGTGCCCCCATCCTTCCTGCCCCCTATTCCATGTCGCTGAAGGGATTAAAACCCCTTCAGCTACTTACCTGAATCCAGTGCTGTCCTGCTCTCTGAAGGAGTCCACGTGGTTATGGTGGCAGCTGGAGTGCTTGGATTCCTCAGGAAGCGCTAGGAGCATCCTGCAACGGAGGTACCCAGTCGGGGTGCCAGGTGATCCGTTACAGTCATAATATTCTATATCCTGGGATATATAATCAAAATACGTTCTTCGTGTAGTAATATATAACTCTTCAATGAGGGACAGGTATTCACACATTAAACACCTTTAATATGGAAAATGATTTTCCCTTTATAAGGCTGTGGATCGTTGAAGTGATTCAGTCGGTGGTTGCCGTGGTTTCTCTATAGAAAGTGTGATTTCTGAATTGTATAAAGGATTATAGTTACTAAGCTCATACACTAATTTCTGTAACTGCCAAGACTTTGACATTGTACAGTAACAAACACGCCGCAGTGAGATGATGTAAAGACTAGAATGATTAGCTGCTTTGCAGATTTGCAACTAAAGTTGTTAATTATTGCTCAGAGAAGCACTTTCAAGAGGAGCCTTTCCAATGGATGTTAACCCCTTAAGGACCAAACTTCTGAAATAAAAGGGAATCATGCCATGTCATGTGTCCTTAAGGGGTTAAAAGAACAAATGGCATGATTTATTCTAAGGTTATATTTCTGAACATGCATTGAAACTCAATTGTATATACCAGTATTATAAAGTGATCAATCGAAAATTTCCTCATGTTTTTTTCATTTGTTGATTCTGAAATTCTACTATATGTATTTTTCCACAAATCCTGTGTTACGCTGTCATCTGGTGTCAGACTCAATTCTCCTACTGCTATAGGAGAATCTCACACTTGCTGGTATAAATGAATTTTGATGATATTGTGATAAAATTTGATGGGTGCGGTATGGAGCACATCTACACTACATGCACTCATACTAATAGTGTACCATTTTTCACAGAATGGGATTGGCTATTGTGGCAAAACCGACCTCGCCACGTGTCCTTGGAGGGGGCTGCTTGCCCGCCTCTTGCCTTTGGACTATGGCCCTGCAGGTTAAACTGTTTATTTTCCCTGCAGAAAGGCTTATTCGTGTGATCTCAGTGCCATTCATCTAATAATGTGCAGTCAGATCCAAGCTATCTGGGGATATGTAGAAATGTGTGTTTTATGTACTAAATGTGTCAGTATGTACTTTTATGTCTTTTACTGTCTTTTTGTCTGCCATGTGGGTAATGGAGTTTGGCTCTGTCGTTGGAGATAATTAGATTCCTTCTCCAATTATCTCCAGGGCAGAAGAGAGGAAGCCAGGATGCATTGTGGGTATGTTTTACTTTTACTGTTTGAGCCAGGGGGAACAAAAGATACTTTTACTAACTTTTGAACCCCTGGTCTGATTCATGCCATTTTTAATATGTTGTTCCCCTGAATGGATTGATTGTGAATATGTATTTTTATGCGAATGTGATGTATATTTTGGGAGTTATGAATGTTGTGTAAAAACTGTATTTTCCCTACCTATGATAATTGTATTTCCCTGTGTGTACAGATAATTAGTTTACAGGTAGAGGGGAGGGCTATGTGTGGGATGTAACTATTGTGTGATTGGTTAATGTACGTTACTGTGTGTGTCCCTCCCCTTCATGGGAGCACCTAATAAAAAGGGCTGCAAGCTAGCAGCCAGAGAGTTCTATTTTTACCCTCAACTTGAGTCCTGTCTCTTATTGGGGGAATCTGCTACAAGGGATTGCTATGCTAGGCATATTCCCTTGCTATAATCACTGAGCTCTTGTAAGAGCTTGTTCCTGCTTCGTTCTGAAGGGAGATAGCTGCAGCCTGCGGTGCTTATGGTGTCTGGTGGAGTGCTTGGAGTCCTCTGGAAGCGCTAGGAGCATCTTTCAACGGAGGTACCCAGTCGGGGTGCCAGGCGATCCGTTACAGTCCTGTATACACTTATAGTTCTAATATGCGAGGGCAAGAGATTTGCAGATCATCAGTAATACGCCATATTAAGTGATGGAGGCTAACTGCTGCATAATTGATTCAAATAGACCTTAAAAATTGTCTGTAAAGTTTCAGGGCCACTAACTCATTGTCTTAAATAAAAGGCACGATGTCATACTTATGTGAGGGGATTTGGTAATTGTCTGCAGAAAGTGGCTACTCACTCATCTGTCAAACTTACATGTAACTGCTAGCACAAATACGAGACTTATACAAGGATATGAAAATGTTATAGAAAGAGCCACCATTATCACTGGATTTGCATGAATTCTCCGTGCCCTGCAAAATCATGGGAATATGGTAACCCAAAACACACCCATGACTCTTACATAGACCCTGACAGGGTGGGCAGCGACTTGTGTAAGCCTGGCCAGCACGCACCAGCTATACGCATTTGTTTCCGGTCAATGGAGGAAATCTATGATGTCTGTCATTAATGGAGCAAGTTTATAGCCACCAGTGGGATAGCGTGGGGCAGGGGGCACAGGCGTGGTTGTCCAGGGCTCAAAATTCTTAGGGACAAACTTTCAAAAGAAAAAAAAAAGAAAGTAGTAATAATGCACTTTTAAAAATATGGCAGCCTTCTTTTCACACAGAAAATCTCCCAATGCTCAAACATTCTACACAGTTTTTCAACATGACAGGGCAAATCATTTTGAAATCCATCTGTATTATGAAATATGTATTACTTTAGGCATTAGATAGATGTTAAAAATTACGCAAAGTAACTATCAGCATCAAACGCATCATGGAGACGAGGCAGGAAAGGAGCAGCGAGGCTATCTTGGCACCCGTTAAGGAACTCAGGGGAGTGCTAACTGTCCACTGGTTAGGGGGCGCAATACTTGCCTGCCCCCTGGCTACCCACGCTACACCACTGATAGCCACAATAATTTTCAAAAATCACTTCAATTCTAAATAGGTGTGCACACAGACAGAACTAATGTTTTAATTGTTAGGAATTGAAAGTGAATGTAAGGTAATTTTTACATTTTAGGCCAAAATAATCAAAGTGAAACACCTGATTTGGAGAATTTTTACATTTCACACTTTATTGAATAACCTAGAGCGACATTGTAACAGAAATATACCATTCACTAAATCCTATTTTCTATCTATCTATCTATCTATCTAGTCCCAAGAACTGAGCACACAGTTTAGTTAATCCGTGTTTACAATGGTGCAGCAAGTAGCCGTAGTTATACCAAACAAGGAGAAGCGCATTTTGGGGAATTTTTAATCAAACTCGTCACTGCTTTATTAACGCCAAAAGCAGATAATCACAATGTATCAACATTTTAGTCTCAACAGAAAACCGCTGTTGAAACTGAAACATTAATGCATTGTTATTATCTGCTTTTGGAGTTTTTAAAGGAACACTACAGTGTCATGAACACAAACATGTATTCTTGACCCTATAGTGTTAAAATCACTATCTAGCTCCCCTGGCCCCTTCCCCCACATTAAATTTAGTAAATTCTTACCTTTATTCCAGTCTGCTGGTGCTGGCTCAGCGCCTGATGTGCCTCCTTGACTGACATCATAAGTGGTGATCTGAGCCAATCACAATGCTTTTACATAGGAAAGCCTTGGATTGGCTCTGATTGCCAAGGAGGTGGAGCAGGGGGTGGGGCCAAATGCCACCCTGGCCATTCAGCATCTCCTCATAGAGATGCATTGAATCAATGCATCTCTTTGAAGAAAGTTCAATGTCTACATGCACAGTGTGCAGCACTGCCCCAGAAAGCACCTCTAGTAGCCATCTGAGGATTGGCCAGTAGAGGTTTCCCTAGGCTGTATTGTAAACATTGCATTTTCTCTGAAAAAACAAAACTCGTTTACTGCAAAAATTCTTGCAGTGACTATATTCACAGGAACAATTACAGTAAGCCGTAGTTGTTCTGGTGACTATAATGTCCCTTTAAACATTCCAGAGAGTGCATTTCCTATTTGTTTTGCTAAAGAAATCCCAATTAATTTATAGTAAACACAGCTACAATATAGTACAGTTTTGAGAAGTATTGTGTTCTTCAAAAACTTAAACAATGAATAATATTTGCACATTGTCTCTTGGGATTTTCTGATAAATTCCCATTTTTTCTGAAATCATGATCTATTAATCCTAATCTATTAGTGAACCTGTGGTTATTTGACAATGATAGGCAAGGAGGTCATAGCTTTAAGTCTTTGTGTTTTATATGATAAGTAAACACAGTACAACTTTACTGCAATCAGAGGTATACCCAGGGTCTCTAGCACCCTTGGCAAGAACCTGTATCGGCGCCCCTCTTCCCAGTCCCCAGTCATGTTCCACATAGCATGACTCCTATATACGTGCTCCACAATATAAAGGGAAGCTAAAGAAACAGACCTAGCATTGTAATTTGTTTCCTAATCCTCCCTGTCCCATAAAAAATTAATAAATAGGAATTTAGGTTTCTATGGTTTCTTAGGAACAGATTCCTGCCAGTCACCCAAAGCCCTCCACACTATTTGGAATCAATGCAAGGAGAACTCCTACAAACCCTCCCACCTGCTAGTGTACATATACAATAAACCAATGATAATCTGTTATCAGCCTCAAATCATAACTACACACACATATTTATACTTGCGTGATGATGGTGCTGTGCCAGAGGAATGCTTGTCACCATATTGCAAGCATTGTACAGGCACATCACACCTTATCACACGCATAACACAGGTACATCACACCTTATCACAAGCATAACACAGGTACATCACACCTTATCACAAGCATAACACAGGTACATCACACCTTATCACAAGCATAATACAGGCACATCACACCTTATCACACGCATAACACAGGTACATCACACCTTATCACAAGCATAACACATAGGTAAAGCACACCCTTTTGCAAGCACATTTGAAGCGTGTATTATTTATAGATAAGACTGATTTATAACCAGGGGCGGACTGACAGGTCGGGCAGATCGGTCGTGGACCGAGGGCCCGAGCCAGTCAGGGGCCCGGCAGCACAGCCATGCTCTGGCTGGGGAGATCTATCTTTGATCTTCCCAGTCAGAAAGCAGTAATTCCTCCCTCCCATATTTCCAGTGTAGTGTTCCCATCCCTTCAGAGTTAGACCTGGCAGCCATCCTGCTCTGCCAGGTCTCCTCCGTGCTGTACTCTGCATGAGAAGGGAAGAGGCGGGGCCGGAGGATAGGAAGTGAAGTCACTTCCTGTGCTCGCTCCTCTGTCCTGGAGTACTGAAGATTAGGAGCAGCCTGGCAGAGACCAGGTATGTGCTTTGTTAATATTTTATACTTTCCTCCCTGTATCTTTCAC